CGAAACGAAGATGCGATTTGGGCAAAACGACGCATTGTAAGAAGCGCGCGCCCGAAACTTCCGCGTGCAGCATTTACTTCCGCGTCACCTCCTCGGGCATTTTCCCTTCCACAGCACACTCGCGTAACTTGAAGGCCACTCCAGTAGCTTCATCCGCTTTACATACTCAACGGCGTCAGGGACAGGTTCCAGAAATAATAAAAATGAGAATAGTGAAATTGGTCATGCACAATTACTCTTTGGTGAAAGAGTTCTGGAAACCGGAAATGTCATGATAATTATGGGCATGTGGAATTTACTTCTGAGTGACTCCTGAATAATGAAGTAGTTCACAAAGCGCTCGGAATAGAAGCCCGATATGGCATCAGATTATAGACCTTCACCCCTAGAGGTACTCTTACAAGTTAGTTAAAGGCCTGGCTGCGCCAGCGCTAGACACTTTAAAATGCAGATATCCATAAGAGAGGATCCGAGCCTGCACACAGGATTTTGCGCAGATAGTCATCGGCCGCCTGATCGATTTAGAGTTAGCTGCTCTTGAGCACTGGCACGGCCGCGGTAGCTGAGACGGCCGTTTTGATTACATTCAGGATCTCTCGGAGATCCTGAATGTAATCACAAGCATGTGTAACTCGAAGTATCCGAGCCCGAAGCTTTCTGGCCGAGAGTTTAGTCTGAAGTACTTGCGCAAGCTTAACTTGCCAAGTCAAGCTAACTTGGCAAGTTCATACACTACGTAGTGGAGAACAAATTTATAGAAAAAGTATAGAAGAGCCTTAGCTATTTCAGGAAATCATCTACCGAGCCGGTTAGTGTCCACGGCTAACCGCGGAATGGTCGTGGGTTCGAATGTAGATCTGTACACATTTGAAGCTCCTATAACTCTGAAGTTCAAAGTTGTTCTTCAATGAAGAACAACTTTCCTCCAAGAGTCTCGTGGTTACGACGTGGTTTTCACAATGGAAATCGCTTTAACTCAACGCCGTTAGGTAGCTGTGGTTCTTCACGTGGAATGGTAGACGCAAAAAACATTCCACATGTCACAAAAAACGCGGTTTATCTTCATATCTGGTTTGCGGTTTACGCGATATGGGAGTTTTCGATATCGGTTTCCTGTGTTGTGGTGAAGTAGCCTACTTTAAGTAGGTTATCCTGACTGTCGCTCCTCAAGTCAAGGGTGACCCTTACCCTCAAGTTAAGTCGGAGTTAAGACGCTATGACTACGGTACTTCGCTATGAGTGCCCTCAGGCTTCTCTCGTATCACTTCTCTTAGTTTCCAGAGTTCATTCCGTGTCCGATTTCTAGTCAATGTTTTTTGGGATTTTTACTCCCCCGTCCCCATCCCCGCCATGCTCTCCACCCTCTCTGGCGGGATAAACCCACCGGAGCTCATCAGCATCGTCCGCCGTTATGCACCAAGAGCTGTTGGAGGAGGTGCGGTACTCCTCGCTAGCTTATTTGTAGCCAAGTTCATCGACACCCTTATAAAGTCTATCAAACCAGTGCCGTTCCTCGGTCCCAAGGTGAGCTCCCTCATCGGATCACTTAGGTCAGTGCTGGTGACGGCTCACTCAGGGAGTTCCCTTTTTCGGCATGGCTCTTCAACTCGACCAGGAGAAAGCCCTGGCCTGCATGCGAGTCTGGATTACGCAGTACGGCAAAACTATCGGTTTCCGGTGAGTCATCGTCAGCTCTCGTACCATTTCGGTGATATAGTCGGGTGTGACTTTATGATTTCTCTCTGGAGTCCTTGCTAGATGTTGTCGGTCGAAGAGCTATTGTACTCTTCCTATCCTT